CATGACCGTGTCAAAACTCTACGTGGAAACGAATTCTGAATGATGATGCTTAATCTTTAAATGGACTAACAGCTCCTTTCCAGCCGATCGCGACATTCAAAACGGCTGGCATGGATCCAAAGTCATTGCCAGGGGTGTACTGGAGAGAGTGTGTTTTCAGTTGCAATTGCAGCAATCCTGGGCGATTCGAAGCAAGACAAATTGACAAAGAGTCGGTGGTTGCAAAGTAGACGAGGTGTCCATCATTCGTGGTTTGTGGTGTCAAGTGTTTGATGGTTTTTGGTTCTGCTCATGTTTAGCAGGGGGCTGCAAACAAAATACAGCCTGTTTTCTGCAAGCCCATGCCAAGTGTTGTAAAGGTTACCACCCCCCGTTCTTTTCTTGCTGGTGCGATAGGTGGGAAATGAGAAATGGAATGAACCCAGGCTTTGATCTTCTAGGAAACCGCCAGTTGGATGGTTTAGTTATAGAGTGTTTTAACTGTAGGGTTTCGTAGGGCTCACTCCCACCATGTTCTCCTGAGCACCGGCCGCGTTTAAAACTCCGCCCACGTTTGGCTTGGGCCTTCGGTGTTATCAGGCGGTGCTGGGCACCGCCAGCGGCCAGCTGCCGAAGATCCCAGTGGGGGCCTCGCTGTATCCCGCATGGACCGTGGAGCGCCCTGGTCGGCGGTGGATGGGTGGGGTGGGGGTGGGGGTGGGGGTGGGGGTGGGGGTGGGGTGGGGTGGGGTGGGGTGGGGTTGAGGTCCGGGCTGTGGTTGATCACCTCTGGAAGGTTTGTGGTGATGCGAGTTCATGGAGATATTTGAGTTATTTGGCATATAGATGTCTCATCATGTGAAACCAGGGTTGTGGGTTCACGCGGGGTTCTCTCCACTTGTGTGATACGTGTGGGAATCTCCCCCAAAATGTACGGGGGGTTAGTCTCTGGGAAGCCATTTTTGTTGTAACACAGAAGTGGATTCAGTTTCCCACAGCCCCGTTGAGGAGGAAATGGATGGAAGCAGGAATCCTACAGATAAGTAATTATACTGTATGCCCCCCAAAAAGGATGGTTGTTTACAGAGGAGCCTCGTTTTCCAGAAGCCTTTTTGGGGTTCCGTGCCATCTGAAGCGGGTACATGTATTTTGTCTTCTCTAGGTTCACCCATGTTCATCTATGTTTGGGAGCATCCTGGATCATGCGCAGTATCAAGACCAACCGTGAACACATCGAGCTGGGATTCGCCAAACACATCCACCCCCGGCTTTGAGAAATTCCTGGTCCAATCAGAACGAGTAGCACTCGGAGAGCACATGAGCCCCCCAGTGTGGCCCATCCCCTTCCTCGAGAATCTCCGAATGCCAAGTGCAATTGGAGGTGTGGGCTAAATGATTGTGTGGATGCTTGTCAGCCTTTGCGTTTTTTGCCTTTGCGATAGCGCACAGTGTCTGTTCGACGCAGCGATGTATTGGGGAAGGGGAAAGAAGGAGAAGGCCCCAAAAACAAACAAGTCAGTATGTCAGCATTTATTGGATAACCCCGATTGTGCTTTCCTTGTAGCCGCAACTCGTTGTGCGATCCGCCCTCTTCATTCTGAGCACCTGGCAGGATGTGGGAGTGTCATGCGTTTGAACATGCTCTCCCATGTTTCAGGCGGGTACCAGGGAATGGGGGATCCATCCTCACCTCCAGCCCTGCCAAACTGCCAAACCTTGACGGGGAAGCTGCACAAACCCTCGCCTTCCAACCTTTGAAGGCTGAGCTCCGTCCAACTCAGGCAGCGGAAGTTTCCACTTCTGACGGCGGCCGGAGGCTGGACCCCGAGCGTGAAGCGCAAAGCGTCTCACCGTCGACCGCCCGCGTTTTTTTCGTGTTTTCGGCGGGCGTGGGCTTGTAAAATGTCTTGGAGTCTTTTTTTTGGCACTTGAAAAGAATTGAAAAGGTGGAGTTCTGATCTGATTCCATGAAAGCAGATGGAACAAGCGCTTTTGGCACTTGAAGTCGGAGATCTGATTCCATGGAAGCAGATCTAGCAGATCTGGTTCAAGCCATAGAACCCATGAATCCTAGGTTCCAACAACTTCGAGTCCCCGGATTGTTGATTGTTTGCTTGCCTCACGCTTGAACAGAACCAAGATAAGACATGTGCGCCCCGTCCTGTATGGTGTGCATGCGCCGCATGCGCTGTCTAGTGGCATGTCCGCGCATCGCAGGAGAGATGACTCCTTCAACTGAGACCGTGGTGGGTATTCCATTGGGCCAGCAGGACAGAAGCTGGCATGACCTACCCGCCTGAGTCCTATGAGTCTTTGTTGTGTTAATGTTGAGCCGAAAAAATCAACCCCAGTTTATTATATAATAGGGGGGTGTCCCTGGGTTTAGTGGGGAATCATCAATTTTGGAGGGGAAGACCCCCCTATCAATGAACTAGGGTTGATTAATACGGGGTTAATATTCGTATGCTGCAAGAGTCAAGATCTGCCGCCTTCCCCAAACTCCATGCCCAGCGCATCGCCTCGCAGGAGCGGCAAGCGCAAGATGAGGGCTATTACATGGACGACCCCTTCCTTTGGTATGGAGCTGGGTACATCTGGTATGGCGGCGACGGCTTGGGCGGCGGTTTCCACGGGCATCAGTCCGACTACGCCCGGCCAGACGGCGGAGGCTGCGGAGGATGCGGGGGCTGTGGCGGTTGCGGGGGCTGTGGCGGCTGTGGCGGCTGCGGAGGATAGACCCTTGGCGTCAAGTCGTGCTGACTTTAGCACTTGGCTGCTATTGGGTTTTAACTTTTTGGGAAATACCGGTGTTTTCCACTAAACCCGCAAAAAGCGAAGCTTTTTGCAGGGTGGTCAACAGCAACCAAGAGCACAGTGCCGCGTTTTTTCCCCAACAGCTGAAAGCTACGGGGGTCCATAGGCCCAGATCGGCTCAGTTTGGGGCAGCTTTCAAGGAGGCTGTTTGGGCCACCTGACCAGATCGAGCTGGCCTCCTTTGAATTTGTCAAGACCCCGATATGGCCCCCACAAAAGGGTGGCGCACCTGCCCCAAAATGGTACCATTGGCTGTGACCCACAGCCATATGAACGTACCAACCCTCAGGGTAAAAGTAGAAAAGAGTAACTTAGCGTTCACTACTGTTTCCTTCGAGCGGGTTGCGTCGGCGACTTGCATACCTGTCATAGGCCAGTCGCTGTGAAAGCCAATGCTTGCAGAGCACGTGCTCACTGAGAGCTTGGTCGGAATTCCAAGCCATATGTCGAAATAGCCGAAGATCAAATGTCGGGGACCACGTGCGCTGTGCCATGCCTTTGGCATTCTGGGCTGTCAGCTTCGCTGCCTTTTGACACCCGAGATCGGAAGGGATGACTAAACATTAGTCCCATCCCAAGGCTGCAACTTGATGCGAAAAGGACGTGCTGCCTGCGCTTTAGTCGGCGCGCGGGCAACTCTTTGTGGCATTCTCTTCCAGAACGAACACCTCAGTCACACCGACCTATCAAATACCTCAAGGCGGTGAGAAGGCACACCCAACAAAAACGACGAGCAACATGGTCCCATCAGGAGCCCCAAATGAGTTTCGGCGTGCCAAGATATTGATCTCAACCGCGGGCAAGGGGCTGAGATAGTGCAAAGGGCTGCATTTCTGAATGCGTGAAGTGATAGCGAGGGACTGGCGGCGCCTGGCACACTTGCATTTCGGCCTCTCGGCTGGGTGCGACCTTCGAATTGGATTGCACCTGCGCCAAGGCAATCTGGGTGTGGGTCAAAGGTAGGCACCCACAATGGAACCCTGCGCTCTTCTGGTGCTTGAATTTTGCCCCATATCCATCTCAAGGTTTTTGTTGCACCCAGGATTCGCAAAGGGGTCCGAACCTGAAATTCCCATCCATTGAGGCTCAGTGCGGCTTGAGCCCAGAAAAGCGCTTCAGCTTCTACGACCACGTGCATACCACCGGCCAGTGCCTCATAGCTGGCTACCAGCCATGGTTGCATGGAAGGTGTGATTTGGTGGACGCGTCATAGCAAATGTCAGAGTCAATGCTATGGCAATGCAGCAATTTGTTCAAGCGTGTGTGTGTGTGTGGGTGCGTGCGTGCGTGCGTGCGTGCGTGCGTGCGTGCGTGCGTGCGTGCGTGCGTGCGTGCGTGCGTGCGTGCGTGCGTGCGTGCGTGCGTGCGTGCGTGCGTGCGTGCGTGCGTGCGTGCGTGCGTGCGTGCGTGCGTGCGTGCGTGCGTGCGTGCGTGCGTGCGTGCGTGCGTGCGTGCGTGCGTGCGTGCGTGCGTGCGTGCGTGCGTGCGTGCGTGCGTGCGTGCGTGCGTGCGTGCGTGCGTGCGTGCGTGCGTGCGTGCGTGCGTGCGTGCGTGCGTGCGTGCGTGCGTGCGTGCGTGCGTGCGTGCGTGCGTGCGTGCGTGCGTGCGTGCGTGCGTGCGTGCGTGCGTGCGTGTGTGTGTGTGTGTGTGTGTGTGTGTGTGTGTGTGTGTGTGCTTGTATGTCTGTATGTTAGGAATTCAGGCAGGCAGGCAGACACACAAACAGTTTGTTTGTCTGCCTGCCTGTCCCAGAGCCACCCTATCAAGCAGGGGGATGGAGCAGGCCTGTGGAGCTCCATCTAACAAAGCTCTCCACAGCTGCCTGAGGATATCTCCAGGGACGCCTGGTGACGTACCTGCACATCGTTCAACCGTTCTATCAACAGAGCCACTTTGTGTTGTGTGTTGCGCCGTTGCGTTTCAAGGACCAATGGCTAGATAGGTGATGCGTTCATTGTGGGTTGTATAGTCTGAAGCCAACTCGAAATGAAGCAGTCGAACCTGTCTCCGAATGCACTAAACCACCCCTTGAATTATTGAAGTTTGTGGGTGCGTGCGCGCGTGTCTGCGTGCGTGCGTGCGCGCGCGGTGTACGCAAGCTTGTCCACGCCAATGCATCACCGCTGCTGTTGCCCCTGTTACTGTTACTACATCATGCAAGCGACACGTGTGCAAACGACCGGCGGAACAGGTAGAGGATGGAAGGCCCATTCCGGTGTTTGCGATGCAGATCGTTTATAGGTCGGGCTGGTGGTTCGCAAGGCCTTGCGACGTCCCCGGGTTTGATTGAAACGGAACGCTTGCGCCTAACACATATTCACGCTTGGGCCATCTCAAATTACAGGGTCCTCCATTTCCCTGATTGGAACCCGGCCTTGGCAAACCTCCAGTCGGCGGTTTTTTTCGGGTTACCCTGGGTTGGCTCGCTTGAGGTATGGACTTGAAGCAGCCCCTGCTTTGCACAGCAGCGCTTACCTTGAGCAAGGCGCCACTCAGCGCCCATGTCGTGTGAGAAAATGTGTCCGGAAAACATTTGGTGGAATACCCTCCCACCAATTAAACACGGAACCTGGCAGGGGCCCGGTCCATTTGAAGGAGAATGAGCCAAACCAGGACCCCTTCGACAGGTTCTTCATTGGTGGGGGGGTACTTGGCAGCTTGTTTTGATTGGTCCAGTTCTCCTGAGTCTTGGCCCTCGGCTAGATCGAGCTAAGCGATTCGATCACGTCCCATTTAAGTATAGACCGATGCCATGCATCCAAATATGTATGGGAGGGCTAGTCTCGTGGTCCAACTTAATCAGGGAAAATGAAGTTCAAAGGGCTCTTGACGTATCATGCCTTCTTCCTGTAGGTGTTTCATTGTCCTAAGCCAAGTCTACCTGACAGCACTGAGCAGACCTTGCCCGTTCAGCCCGTGTCACATGTCAGGACATGACGCTCCGCGACTATGCGCAGGGTGCCTACCGGATGCGTGGCATAGGTGCGAGTCACGGGCATTGCTGGTTCTCAGCAGGGAATGAGGGAATGATCCCCATATAGGTTCATTCCCAACACCCTGTGTCATTCCCTACTGAGCACCAGCAAGTTGATTGAGAAAAGGAATAAGCACATGGGGTTTGATCCAATGGTCCGGTAAACATGAAATTACCATTGGTTGGAAAACCACCAAAAACATAAAGCTTTCCCACATGGGGAAAGCTATTTATGGTTTCATTTGGGGGAATTACTGATCAACCCCCACATTCTCGCTAGCACAGTCAGAAAAACATTCGCACCTGCGTTGCGCGTGCAGATTCCATGTTTTTCTTTTTGCGAGATTGGGAAACTGTTTCTTCTTGCATGTGGCTCCTGAAAAGCCAGCGGTAGCCGAAGAGTGGGGCGAGGGAGGTTTCACGCCAGAGACGCGTTGCCCGGAAACGTGATGTGGGTCGGCCCACACAAAAATGCAGGTGCCACCAGTGCCGAGTAAACCATTCTCGTGCTGGTTTTTCTCAAGGGAAGCAAGGCCAGGCCATGCAGTCACGAGAATCCCAATGTGCCGTTTCTCAAGCTGCTCCTTTAGCTTGTGATCAGTCCAGCTTTCCTGGTAGAAACAAATGGGTTCCACTGGTTTAGATTGGTTTCATGCCATCCGTGTTTAGATTGGTTTCATGCCATCCGTTTTTTTTTTTTTAAATCAATCAAAAGAGAAAACATTCTTCCGAAAAGGTCACCACACGTGAGGGAATGGGTGGTTTCCTCGGGAGAGACCAATTTTTCCACCATATTCACCAGACAAGTTTTGTTTCCCCTCACTTCAAGTTTTCGCCCCCCCAGATTTTCTTTCAGAACATGTCCACTGCGTGCCAAGCTGAGCTACGCTTCCAAGCACCGGCCAGTGGCAGGCCGGGGGCAGCGCATCGAGCTGCTGGTGACCCCAGAGGTGCGAGCGCTGATGAACAAGCCGCAGCCTCGGCTGAGCAGAGCCGAGAGCGGCCTGCGGAGCCGAGAGCCTGAGAGGCTGAGAGGCTGAGAGGCTGAGAGCTGGGTGGCGAGGGTTTCAAAGGCTCCGTTTCCGGAGCTTACTGAAGGGTCAGTGCCCTCCCTGACATAGCACCTGTGGGACCTGGAAGATCATTTTCCCTCTTGGGACCCTCTGGCAGCCAAGTTGGTCGGAGTGAGGCTATCCAAATTTGTTTTTTGAAGAAGGAGTGGTCCAGGTAAAAAGTAGGGTAACCCTCCCCCCCCCCCGGCAAAAAATCGAAGAAAATGGCACAGGATTCCCTGGAAATTGAAACCCAAAGACGAACACCTGCCGCAGTTCTTTCTGGCTATCAATCAGAACCCAGGTAGAAGGGATAGTCCCAACCATGGTGCGGCTTTCTGCCCTTATTTTACATGGTTTACACGGGAAATATGCTTATGGCTTGGTCAGGGATCGTTGGACTTAGATTTGTTGGTTGATTTTTCCCCGGATTTGAGCCACACAAAGTTGAGCTTTTTGCAGATGGGTCGTTAATGCAACCAGGTGAATTGGTGTGTGTGTGTGTGGAGATATGAACTCCTCCTTCACGTGGCATGGGAAGCCGGAGAATGGGTTGGAGCGCCGCTCAGACGGCCGTGAGATCCGCTTGTTGGTCGAGGACCCTGAAAAACACCGCTCACACCCTGCGCTCCAAACCGGAAGCCTGAAGCCGTGACCGCATGTTTCAGGTCTCTCAGCCAAGTGGAGCAAACCTCGGAGGAGGCCCGTATCCCTCGCCCTCGCTCTCTCTCGCAGCTGAGTGGACTTGGGTCAAGTAGCGTTGAGTCAAACCAGCCAGAGGCAAACCAGCCCAGTTTTTTTTGCCAAGGGTGGGGCTCCAAAGTGCCGGCCATGGCGTCGGTCACCAATACAGGGCGTCCGAGCGAAGCTCCGCCAGGCGCGGGCAGCGAGCCTGCAGGCGCTTCGCAGGAAGCCTGAGGCGAGCCGAACGCTATCTTGAAGCTTTCATGTCGATTGATCGACGTTGGTTTCGCGTTGCAGGGGTTGGCTGCAGCTTTGCTGATTTTTGGAAAGAGCCAATTAATCACCTCGTTTTGGAGGGGACGCCCATCTTTTTTGTCAGTTTTAACGGGAACCAGCAGGAAAACCCACCCATCTTGAGGCACCCGCAGGGATATCTGGCATGCGATTGCGACGAGCAGGCCTTCCTGCAAGCGACGCTGGTGGACGCACTGTGCTGGCTGGTGCTGAACGGCCTAAATGCGGAGGAGCGGGACAACGGTCCAAGAGGGGGGGTGGCAGTGGGGTGGCAGGTTGATGGGTCTAGGGGATGGGTCCAGGCCCCCTCAAAGCTCTGGAAATTCCAAGTTGAGCTCTGTCCCATCTCCTTAGCTTTTTAGCCTAGTGTTTAGTGGTGGTTTCCATTTGACCCACCGCCAACAGTTATTCACTTTTGGCGGGGGAGCTGACGGCAGCCCAAGAGGTATATACTACTGTTTTACAACGCAAAACCACATTCTCCAGAGTGTCTCCCCTGCTTCCCCGGCCCACTTGCCCGCAGACCTGCATTCTTTATGTCTTATACGAAGCCGTCCCTGCGTTGGCACACCTCTGAGTGGTCCAATATTTGATTCCTACTATGGATAGATTAAATCTTGCACCAGTTGGGACGGATGAAACATGAGAAACCGGATAAACATGGGTTAACCACTTACTAAGTGCTGCGAAGCGGATTTTGTCAATTTGGCCCCTTGACATTTCACCAGCCAGTCCGGGTCTATGCGCCGGCTTTTTTTGGGCAAGACGAGTGTTACGCAAAAACCAAACAAACGTTGCGCATGTTTCCGGTTGGTGCAGATTGGACTTTCCAAGCGCCTGTAACACAACTAACCCAGCCGCGAGGGTTGCAACTAATGAATGGGCACGCGGCCCTGTAGCGACCATTGATTCTTTGTTCAGGGGACCCTGGATGGTTTCTACAACGGGTCGCCCGAGAGGTACTTTGCCCAGATGTTGGTGTTTTTTGCTCTTTCTTTTTTCCCAGCCTTAAACAGGAATGCCTCTGCTTCTTGGGGGATGAACTCAAGTGGAGGAATTCCCATTGGCACTTCTCCCAAGAAGCTGCTGGAGCAACACGCAGCGTGTCGGGCGCGAAGATCTCTCCGGAGGCCCGGAAGCGGCAGCTGCTGCGGCAGCAAGACCTCCACAACATTTGGCGCTCCGCGGCCTGCGGCGGCCTCGGACGTTGCGGAACTGGCGGAAGGATTCGCCCCATTCACCTCGGCTGGGGGCGTCAGATGAATCGCCGGCTCGGGCGGAATGGCCGCGTGGTATGTTTCTTGGTTCTTGGTTCTTTTTTCACCGGGTGCGAAACACTTTTCGCAAGGGGGGGTGCGAACGCTGAGCATCAGGGCCGCGGGGAATGGAATCCACTTCTATGATACAACGGAAAGGGCTTCCCAAAGACTAAATTGTTCATAGCAAGGGGGATTCTCTTGTATCACAGCTTGGGGATAAACTCCTTGATCCCACAACCCTGTTGACTATTGTCGACCCCATGTTACTCCACCCCAGTTGAATAATAGGGGGGCTGTCCCCAGGTTTAGTCGGGAGTGGGACTCTTTTGGAGGGGATATGGGGTCAGGTGATATCCCCAACAGCACGCGGTGCTCTTTTTAACCTTGATGGAACCCTGGTGGAACCCGAACCTTCTCTCAGGGCCGGGGTCCAACCTTCTAGGGCCGCCCCGGACCCCGGAGCCTGGGCTGGGGCCCAAAGCTTTTAGCTGTTGGGGAATTATTGGCTTCCCAGCGAATTCTCAAATGAAACAAAGCAACCAAGAGGTAGACCCCTCCCGAAGCAAAACAAAAACAACGGATCCTGATGGCGTCTCTCCAAGTTTCTTCCGGCGCAAAGTGGATTGGGCCAGTCATGTTATGTCTAGCAGGCGGTAAAAAACCAAAGATCATCCAAAGGTCATGCTCCGATTGCCAGACCAGAAGTCTCACGATTTTCAAGGCGAAACCTTCAAAGGACCCCCGGACGCCCGCCCCCCCATTTTTCGTGGCACCAAAGGACCCCCACAGCACCCTCCTTTTTGCCGCTTTGTTGTTTTTCCTCAAGTTGTGGCTTTTGTCTGGGAGGCGGGTGTTTTGCCGGGCCAAGCGGGTGTTTCTGGGCGAAGTCTCGAGGTCGTTGCCTGGAGATCGGGACCGAGGACCTGGCGCTTTGGCTTGGCAAGGCTGGCGGGGGGGCTGGGTGGGTGGGCGGGGCTGGGTGGGGGGAATTAATGATCCAATATAATAAAACCAAATAAAATAACTTGAAAATAAGGGAAAAGGGATATTATCTCCTGATCATTGTCAACCCGCCGGATCTCCCGGAAATAGAATTAGATGACATATGAAAAAGACAAACAAGATAAAAGGCATGTCATTACAACTCCAAAAGAGAAGAATTAGAAGAAGAAGACCAATAGATAGATGAAAGAAATGTAAGAAATTAATAAAAACAAAATAAAAGACAAGAATACAGTGAATCATTAATTGATAATGCGAGAATGCAAAATTCTTTAATCTGCAAACTAATAAAAAGAGAAGACAAAAGGAATGACCATAAAGTGAAGAAAATAATATATTATGATGAAATTTCGTTATTAATAAAAGCATTTCCTAGAGATATAGCAGCATTAGATAAAAGAAGTGTATTAGCAAAAGTTAATTCACAAGGATCTGGAAGATAGAAAGCTTCTCCTGGCCACATCCCTAAAGTTGGAGAAGATAATAAATGAAAAGATGTCCAAAAGAAGGATACAAATAATAGAGCTTCAGAAACTAGAAAACTTCCAAAAAGAAGAAAAGACATGTTAATAAGACTTCATATGTTTTAGTTAATTCTCTTAATAAATCCCTAGACCAAATATGAAAACTATAAATAAATAATAAATTAAGATGAAATAATATAAGAAAATGATTCTATGAGAAGTGAATTCCAGTCCAACAATAAATATTAAATCCTGTAAAGATAAATAGAATTATAATATTTGCAAATATTAATAAGATAGAAATATTAGTAAGAAAACAAAATGAATCTGATGTAACTTCTAAATGTAATGATTTCCAAAATAAAAGAATTCTAAAGAAGAAGTAAAGAGAAATAGAAAAGTGTCTTTATGGAAAGGCTGAGGAACGAAGATATCATTTCCTTTTCTTTTTTATGTTGTTTGGTTTTTCTTTTTGGTCGTAATAACTTGTCCATCTTATCTTAATTTGTTTTTATATTGTTATTTTGTTTATTTTGTTTGTTTGTTAGGGTTATAATGCTTGAGTTTTTACAGTTGGTTTTATTATTTTTTTCTTTTATTTTGTGTTTATAAGATTAATAATTACTTTTTTTAATATTTTTCATGTCATCTTTTTATATGTTGTTTTTCTATTAAAAATGGAGAGATAAGGAAAATGACATAATTTCTGAGATTTCTTTTACTTTCGGATCTTAATGTAATGCTTTTTGGAATAATCCTAACATGAGATAGGACATGAATATAAGTTTTAAAAAGATGAAGTGATAGATGGATTTCTTTGAGTCTTTACTGTATGTCCTCTCTTTTTTCTTTCTTTCTTTTCCTTTTTTATCATCTTTCACTTTCTAATTCTCTTCTTCCTAGTCTCACAGATCCATCTCTTCAGGAACTAATATTAAATGCTAAGAAGATAAGGATGGAATGCTATTTGGAAAAGCCTTTAATCTTAGGCAAAGATACACAGTTTAATAATTAGATTTGGAATGAAGGTAACAGGATAATAAAGGAAATGAATGTTGGTGAAAAGTTGAGATTCCTTCCTGGCCATGAGAATCTGTTAGTAATTACTTGAATGGATGATTCTAGTCGGGCTGGGTGGGAGGGCTTGAAGGTTGTCTGTGTGAAAAAACTGTCCCCCAACAGTCCGTGAGTCGCGTTGCTTTTTGTTGGTCCTTTGTAAGAAAGCCCAACTCCAACCCCAACCTGACTCAGCCCAAGTTCAACTGAACAAATAGAAATCTAAATTCCAAAGCCAGACCAAACCGGGAAATTCCCGGCAACAGTTGTGGGGGCCTGAGCTTACTGCTCCGCGCAAAGGAGGGGATCACCCAAAAAGGTTTGGGATGAATCCGAAGTGAGCGGCCAGTCGCTTGGCACAGGGCTTGGCCCTTGTTTCTAGGGGTTGATTCCTGTTCCATTCTTTTCAGCCATCGTTCTTTTCAATAACCAGCTGTGTCCCCAGGGTTTTGGGTGGTTTTCTGGAAAGAAGGATCCCTGGAAAGAATGGGGAAGCTACCCCTTGATGGTGGGAACGGCCTGAATCCTTCCCGCTGAGAAACGCGAGCTTCAATGAGCAGCTGGAAAGTCGCTCCTTTGCGAAGTGCAGCACGCAAAGCATGGCAAAGCAGGGACTTGGAGACTCTCTTGGAGACTCTTGCAGCAGCCATGTCGTCCACTTCGCGGTTCGCGGTTCGCCGGTTTCCGCACCCGCCACATTCTCCCAAGCAACTGCGCTTCACGCAGTTGCAGTAGAGTGCAATGGGGCGCACTCGCACTTTGTTTTACCAAAAGGAAAGCAACACAATTATCGCACCTTGAGTGAGAGCAGAAAGCAAAACGCAGCTTGAGTGAGCTGTTGCGTTTTGGTTCGCCAAGGGCGACATCTGGGGATTCTCCAAAAAAAACCGTCCAGCGCCCAAAGCGGCCGCTGCTTGCTGCCTATGGCGCCCAAAGCGGCCGCGGCGGCTGGGCGGGTGGTGCCCCACAGCGGCCTGCCACCAGGTGAGGGGTCGGCCTGAAAGCTGGGGAGCAACAGTCGAGGGTGAGGAAAACCAATCGATTTGGTCCCACCCCCCAAAAAAATGACAGGTTGGCGTCCTTGTTAGCCAACATCTGCCAACCAAAAGAGGGTCCACTTGGAGAGACATCTAAAGGCTGTCGATTTTTCCTAGGGGCGTCCAATACCAGCGGAAGGATTCATGCTAAGGCCAGCGTAAAGATGATCAGGCCCCCGTTCCAAGACACTCTAGAGATTGCAGGCTGGAGAGCTATCGAGAAGGAGTACCTCACTGGAAAGTGCCAGGGATCGTGTTTTGACTGCAGGTCATGTGTCGGTGGTTGCGGCTTTGCACATGAACGAGTAAATTGCTGGTTGACATAGGTTTGGCATCCGTTGGCACACGGCCGTATCAGAAGATTTGTTGGACAGATGCATAGTTGAATGGGGTCTTAGTGGTACCAGGCAACTGCTTGGAAATGACAACCTCTTGTTCATCTCGGTGGGGTTCCCAGCCATAGTTAGCCATGAAGCGCTTATATTTTCTGCCCCAACCAAGCCTTCCTGAATAATGTTTGCGTGGCCCGAGTTTCCTCTTGCTTGGTCTTGCACGGGTTTCTGACTTTGGTCCTTGTGCACCTTTCATCCATGTGCTTCTGCAACTCACAGGCTGAGGGGTTTGTGCTGGCACGGGAAGCTTGACAGGATGGCCACGCAACGCATTGGTCCCCTTGCTTTACTTGGCAGTGTTCGGATCAAGCTGTTCTTTGACGGAGGTGGGACAAGACATGTTATATCAACAGCAAGCCAATCCAGATAAACACAGCGCACTATTTTCAGAAGCCCCTGCTGTGGGCCCGTGTCCGTCGAACGAACCATTCCCGTTTGCTCTGCACTAGGACCTACGTCCGCTTCGAGAGCGACAAGGTGAAGAATTTGTCGAGCGTTCGGAAGGTGTTTGAGAGGTACGCTGAAGACACCGGCTTCTCTGCGGACACCTTGCATGGAGAGTACCAGGCAGGTGCCCATTTGTTGCTCGCTTTGCGGCGGCTCCGGTCAAGCCGTTGCAAGACCCCGGTCTCAGAAAAACGGCTCGGATTCCAATGCCAGGCGCTGAAAGCGAAGGAGAGAGAGGAAGCAAAAGAGGAGAATCGGAAGCAGAGGGAAGCGCAAGGGAGGTTTGACAATGAGAAGCGCGATCAGCCCCACAGCTGCACTTTGACTTGTAACACAATCTCCCGTGTGCTTTATCCTACTCTGAGATCAGAGGCCAATTTTTTAGTCTGAATGTGCATTCTCCCATACGTCAGGGGGAGAATCGCGAGAATCGCGACGCGCCATCCAGCAGCCAACAGCCCCCACGAGCATAATTAGGTTTCTCTGCAGCTCAGCGTTGCCATGCGACAGCCTCCAAAAGTGGTGCCTTTCAAAGCCGCGATTCAAGCGGAATCAGCTGGGAGTTCAGCAACGAGCGCGAAGGGAGAGCAAAGCCATCCGATCGTTTACGCCCGATTTGCTTTCCAGAAGGGTCCCATGGAACCACTTGCGGTCACCTTATTTCTCTACTGCTGTTGGGTTGGATCCTTAGACTTTAACTTTTTGCATTCCCCTCATAGTTACTTTTAACCAGCAAAAAGTGAAGCTTTTCGCTGGGGGATCTACAGCACCCAAGATTTTGGGGGAGGTTGAGGACTCATGCACTTTTTTCCCGTTTTTTTTCCCCCATGCGGGGCAATCTTGTCCCGGTCGGCCCGTGTCAAGGATGATCCAGCTCTTCCGGGATAGGCACGGGCCTTTGTCGGGCGCAATGATCACCAGCTTGCCGGGCTGGCGCGGAGAGGCCAAGTACTTGCCCAACTCTGGCCAGCTCTGTGCCAGCTACTACGCCGCTAAGAGGCAAGAGGAAATTTGCAGAAGGGGCGAAACCTGCGAAACGAGGCACAAAAAACGCCCTTGCTGTTCTTGCAAGGGCCTGATGGAGGAAAGTGGAGGGATATGGAGGAACAGCTTGCCCCACCAATCTTCTACCTTTGTGGCTTTGCATCTTTTGGAGCTGCGGTCTTTGTGTGGAGGCTACCCTTTTTGTGGTTTTTTAAAGGGAAACCAAAGCACAGAAACGTCCCTTCTGTTCTTGTAAGGCCTGATGGGAAGTCGACGAATATGCCGCTCACGCCTCCGTAAGCTGGTTCGGTGTTTCCGCACAACTTGAGATACCATGTGTTGAACACAGCGCGTTGTTTGCGGATCGTTGAACCGTACACCTCGTTGTGTAAGATTGCGGTAGTGTGAAACGGGTTGGCATGGACTGACAAATTCATTTTCTTGGGATTATTTGCTTTTAAAGGGAATCTACCACTATACTGGACCTGTTTCTCATTTTTGCAGTGGGCTTAATGGAAGACCATGGTTTGACTGAGGATCCCTCTGGGCGTTGCTTCAAGCT